TAACCAGGAGATGCTGAACTGTCATTACACACTGAGAACCTGGCGGAGCCGCCGTGATATCACAGCGGCTCCGCCGGGTTCTCAGTGTAATGACACATCAGCGTCCGTGGTTAGCTGCTAACCAGGGGACGCTGATCTGTCTCTGCATGCAAGTGGCCGGAGCCAACCGTGAGATGATGGCTGGCTCCGCCAAGCTGTCAGTAGCAGGTTGTCGGCCAGCCGTTCCAGCTTCGGCTTTCACCTCGGCTCAGTTGAGCCGAAGCATATGCCTTCGGCTCGACTGAGCCGCTCGGCCAACTTCGGGAGCTGTACGGGCTCAAGTGAATAGCCCGTACAGCAGCCCTTCAGTTCTACTCAACCGAAGGGGTCCTGGGGCCGAAGCTAGCCGAAGGATCAGCCGAAGCTATGGCTAGATCCTTCGGCAGCTTTGTGAATAACACCCATAGTACTATGTGTCCTCAGTTATGAATGAACAGGCTGTGATTTACATCACAGCCTGTTCATTCATGAATTTCTGAATGGGGAGTAGCACTCCCTATGGAGGCTTCTCCCCATTCATAAACTGCTTGATAGTAAATATTTTAAGATCAGCAGTTTCTGAATGGAATGGGAAGCCTCTGTACTGAGTGCTTCCCATTCATTGAGTGCTGAGGCTGCAGAAAAAGAAATTGAGGATTTAGTGTCCTCCAATTTCTTTTTCTATTTCAAAAGGGAAATGTCAGGGATCTGTTTAGACCCCAGAGATTTCACCGTAGCCCCCCCCAATAGTAAAAAAACAAATACAAAATTATTAAATAAAAAATGTGTAAAAAAAATAGCTTGCTCCTGTGATGGACTACAACCTCAATACAAACTAGTAGTTCTATCACTGGAGCCATTTTTTAAACTTTATTTAATTGTTTATCCGATTAACCGATTAATCGAACTTAATAATCGGCTAACTAATCGATTTTGAAAATAATCGTTAGCTGCAGCTCTAGGCCTGATGCTACCTAACTGCAAGTCCTTGTGTCTATTGCTTTGAACAGTGTTGCGTAGCACATATAATTTGTAGTTATTGTGTTAACACTGGCATATTGCTTATTCCAGTTTGATGAAGATTTATTTTCTTCTGAATAGAATTTTTGTAGCCGTGCAGCTCTGGAAGCCCTTGGCTCCTGTCTGAACAACAAGTATTCTGAGGGCTATCCTGGAAAAAGGTAAGATTTTTAGTTTTTTACCATTAGCAGATCGGTACTTGATTTTCATAGTATTAAGATTCTAATCTTGAGAATGTAAATTCAGGATATGTAGCTCCCAAATCCATTTTTTCCCCATGGTTTCATTTAGTAATAAACATTCTTGTTTTAGAGCCAGAGATATAGTTCATTTTGGAAATGCTTTACTCAGCAGGGTCCTTTTTTCCACTGTTTACACACGAACCCATGCCTGTCAATGACTGGACTTGCATGCTGCTGGCCTTAGGCTGCGTTCACACCTAGGCGGATTGAATATGCAAGTTTTTCGCGTGTTTTTTACCGCGATTCGCGGTAAAAAAAAAATGCGCGAAAGACGCACGCTTCCGAGGGATACTTGGCTGTATCCCAATGGAACCGCCCGACCAAAACGCCCCAAAGAAGTACATGTACTTCTTTGGGCGTAGGGCGGTTTCCCGCACGTTCATACTCGCGTAAATCCGCCCAGATGGGAACCATGCACATTGAAAATAATGGCATTTCCCTGTTTAAGCGTTTTTTCGTGAGTACGAAAGCGCGGAAAAACGCCTAGGTGTGAACCCAGCCTTACTGCTGACAAGTACACAATGTAACACAGCCAATAGGTGGTGAAAGAGGGAAGTTTTAGAGCTAGTTCTTATTGGATTCATATATATTACTCTGTTTTTGCAATGCATGCAGAATTTACAGGCCTTTAAAATTGTACTGTTTTTATGTGTTCTAAAACATATAGTCCTGTAGTGAGCATTTTGGTGCCTTAACCTGCATTTTTGCATTCAGTTAAGTTGATCCTTTAAAAAACACAGTACAGTGTGCATTAAAAGCATGTGCATGTGTCTTAAAGTGACACTAAAGTCAGAAGTTTAATTTTAAATGCATTCAAGTACCTTCTGGAGGGTGGCTACTTTTGTTCCCCATGGTCCCTGTGTGTTGTAAAGTAGCCACCGCTCCAAGCTCACTCCTGTGATGGACTACAATCTCACATTTTAGTTTGCTAATTTGTATTTAAGTTATAGTCTGATATTGTATGGAATACAGTACTGTTATTATTCAGTAGGACTAAGCAGATACAATTGTTGAATTTAAATAGTAAAATGTTTTGGTTAAATGCACGTGCTGCTTTAAAGTATATGTAGGGTTACAATGGAGGCACAGGACCAAAAATGTACCAGTGTTTGTAACTCTAAATCTTGCTGTCTTCCTAGGTATTATGGAGGGGCTGAGGTTGTGGACCAAATAGAGTTGTTGTGCCAGCAACGTGCTTTGGATGCTTTCAGACTGGACCCAGAAAAATGGGGAGTTAATGTGCAGCCATACTCTGGTTCCCCAGCAAACTTTGCAGCATACACAGCCCTTCTGCAGCCACATGATCGTCTCATGGGACTGGATCTTCCTGATGGAGGACAGTAAGTATACTAGAGTTCACTATATTATACATTCATTGACTAGACTGAAAGGTCGGTTCTGCCGCGGTCTGTTCATTCCTTCCTTGGATTTTAGGTGTCCCTGCAAGGCTGGGGCTATTTATTCTCCTCCTGTTGCAGAATCTGTTATAAAATTTAATGTAAAAAATCCAGTGGGTCATTGGGACCTCTTTGTAATTGACTGATGTTCAGAGCTGGTAACTCAGGAGCAAAGGTTTCATTACTAGTTTTCCTGAGCAATATGAGATTCCATTAGGTGGTTTTTGGTGAGCTGGCAATTTAAAAGGTTGTGTTTTTTTGTTTTTTACTTTTTTTTTTTTTAGGTATGGTGTAATTATTTTGATGTAAAATTTATCAGGGTGTATTAAGGTGTTTACAATTATTTATGTATATTTTGTAGTTTCATGTGTACATTGGCGCTGCCAAATGTGCACAATACATATGCAAGCTTTGGTTCCTGCTTTTATAGTGTTACACATTAGTTGTGATTCATCTACACAAGCAATATCTTCTGCAACACTTTCTATAAAGCTAGTAATCATAATCTCTGCTGTAGAAGGAGCTTACAGTATAATGTCAATTCTGCAAGCTTGTGCATGCTGTAGGGCCAATATAGGTATTAAATCTATATTGACTCAACCCAGTAAACCATCTTTTCCCACTGCGACACAAAAATTACGAGAACTCGCTGCAAATAATACCACTGTTGGCTCTTGCCGGTTGCTTTAGTCCAGGTAAATGAGTGTTTTGTGACGTAATCTTTCTTTCTTTTTTTGGGGGGGAAGGGGAGTAAAAGAGAGAGAACTGACTTGATAACATCTTTCATTTTTTTTCTTCAAGCTTAACACACGGGTACATGTCTGATGTAAAACGTATCTCGGCTACCTCTATTTACTTTGAATCCATGCCTTACAAGCTTAATGTAAGTATTTCCTAGATGGCATCTAGTTTGATTTTCTATACTATATTTTTTTTTAAATTTTCACACCAAGATCAGGAAGTTTGTGCACATTTCTATTTGTATGTTCCTATACATTTCGTAGTCTAAATAAAGCTAAAATCTAATACTTAAACTTTAATTTTTTTATTCAAGAAGCAAGCATTTTTGTTCACTCCTGACATCTCTAGTCAAATCTCTGCTCTTGAGAAGATAACAGGCTATTGGTGCAACCAATTTTTGTAAAAGCAGATGCTGGTCCTTTTTAGCAGTCACAAGATTTTCAAAAACCGATCACTACCGCTTACAGACACATGGGGGTGTATTTTTAATGCATTTTTAAATTTATTCCAAGCACAAATCCTGAATCTGTTGTTCTGTTGGATGTATTTTATTAACAATTTGCAGGGCCATTTGCAAGTCAAGCCCTGCCCTCTACCAAGATGGCTGCGTGTTAAGTCCTTAATAGCGAAAAATCAGCTGAAGGGAGGTAGTCCGCAGGCAATACTGGTGACTAGTCCTTTACCCTCTGCCTGACTTTTTTGGGCACAGCATGCACAGTTCAGTTCAAGATCTGTTGTCAGCATTCCTGGGCTAGAGCTAAAAGGTGCTCGGTCTTCAGGAAAGCCTCTTTATATGTGCTTGCGGTTCATGATGCTCTTTGCCGTAGCATTAACAAACTAAAGCCTTTGTAAACTAGGCCTTAAGTGGGCTGAACATGAGAAATCACTGGGTTTTCCCATCCATGAAAAACAGCTTGCACTGCACTTGGGATTCCAGTGCAGCAGTGGCAACGTTCCCAGTCCACTGTAGGAAGTTAGCAGATGACTACCTTTCTGGAAAGTTTTACAGGTGATTTCCCTTTTACTGAATACATGTGTAATATTTTTATAGGTTAGAAATTTAACATCAATTTGTGGAAGGTATTCATGCCTGCATGTATTTTATCTGCAAAATCATGGGGTTACACTCCTAAGCCAGCCATTTATAAGTTTCTAAGTGATGCAGATTTGATTTGGGTTGACCTTGTAGTAGCCACTGTCGGCAATCTAAGCATCTAGAGAACTAAAAAGAAAATCTAGAATCATTGACCAGCACATCTCAGTCTGAAATGTCTTGTCTAAAGGTTTGCATTTCAGTAATTGTTTTGTTCTAAAATATCTGTTTTGAGTTGCTGTAAGGCGTTTTCTTTGCTTGTCGAACCAGTGGCAAGTACAGAGTATTGGAATTGTTTATCGTTATGCTACATGGAGAAGTCAAGAAACCTAAGAGGAAAGCATTTGGAAATGCTTCAGGAAAGACAGTGCAAAGGAGTATAGGCAATGATGCAGACATATGAAAAAGGTGCAATAAACTGAATAATAAAAAGGAGTAATAGTCTGGCTACAGAGGAACACAGTCAAGTGAAACAATATCATTTTCAATAAAAATACATCTATTCATATAAAGTAAGCAGGTAAAAGAAAGTAAACAGACATTCCCAAATCAATAAGAATAAACAGAGGAAAAACTACATCTCTTCAAAGTGGTAATATGGACTTAAGCAGTTTCTTACTGTTTACTAGAAAAGGAAAATGCATCAACAGACTAATGGAAAATGGTGCAGGCAAGATTTGTCTAAACACAAACCTGTTTCAGTGAATGTTAAATACACAAACCTTTTTTATTAAGCTCATTATTAATCAAGAAAAGTATTTAGACCTGCTTTGCTTAAAGGAAAATTATGGGGTCACTGTTTTCCCCGTAGTTCTCATGGTCACGGGAGGACATATACTAGGGTCCTCTCGTGACCCAAAGCTCAGTATATTGCGAGCTACAGCTCGCGGTATTCCGGGACTGACCTGACCTCGACATTACTGTCGAGATCCACCCAACTGCATGATTGACAGCTGGCTCTGCCTATCTAGAGACGGAGCCAGCTGTACCCGCCCCCGCTACGATCCCCCAGTCAGCGCTGGGGGATCGTAGTGGGGGGGGGGGTAAACCCTGCAGGGAGCCATGAGTGACAGCCACGGCTCTCTGCGGGGACGTGAGCGAGCGACCTATGTGTTCGCTCACTTCCCGATCTATTGAGCCGGCATGTGACATTTTCATTGACACACTTCTGCTCGAACTACGAGGTTGAGTGAAAATCACTTGCCTCGTAGTTCTCCTTTTAAGCTTGCCTTACACGTATAGATTATCTGCAGATTTCCTATGGACAGATGGAAAAAGTGCAACAGGTTCCTCCATATCCGTTAATCTGCATGGATAGAGCAATCTCCCACTGGGCCTAGATTCAGTATCTTGGTAGTCTGCCCCGCTTACACTCAAAATTCTTGAACAATGCCTGTGTTTTTTTTTTTTTTTTTTTTTTTTTTTTTTCTTTTTTTTTTTTTTTTTTTTTTTTTTTCTTTTTTTTTTTTTTTTTTTTTTTTTTTTTTT